TCATCTAATGTTTCATTGCCACTAGTCCATCTTTCAGTTAATAGCTTTGGATCACATGATTGACACCATGCTGGACTAGCATTATATCTATTGCAGGTTGAACATTTGTCATAAATTTTTTTTCTTCTCTTTGAATATTTATTATCAACTTTTTTGTCAATAGAAGTATCACGAGGATGCTTATTGGCCACTTCGTTGAAAAAAAACATTTTTGAAAATTATTTGTATTTTTCTAAAAGAATTGTTTAATAATATATTGTATAATTTATGGATCACGGAAATCAATAATAAATCGGAAATGATTTATTGCACGAATAAGGTTGCTTGCAGAAACCACTCAATGACTGCCGAAACGCTGCCGAAACTCTAATAAACAATTAGCGTGTAACCTGCCGAAACTCTGCTAATTGTCGAAATCCCTAAATGAGAAACTCTGCCGAAACTCTAACAAACAATTAATGTGTAACACACTGTAATTATTTTATTGGTTTATTACAGTGATTGAGTAACAATATCAAATTGGACTGGTTTGAATTCTTGATCAGTATTTCTGTGTTTTCCGATTTTCTCTTCGTGCGTATGGTTGCTTGCTAAAACTCCTCTGGAAATCAATCGGCAGAGTTTCTGCAGCCAACGAAAATAATGGCGGCGACAAAATGTTGCATATCTCAACAAATATTGTGAAGGTGGGTTTGCATGATTGTAAAGCATAATTAAATAGGTTTAGATTCATTTGATTGCCAATTTTTTGTAAAGCTAATTCACATCTTTTTTTTAAAATCTTCACAAAATTTCAGACTTAAAAATTTTGATGTGAAATTTTTTAGTAATTATTCTAACGCATAATTATACAAAAAATTATATCAGATTGTAGCTTAAGTTCTGAATATTTTGCATATAAAATTACATGCTTCTATATTTTCTAAAATTTTGTCAATTAAAAATAAAAGAAATCCGATTATTTTTGAAAAAAATTATATAAAACCTTGGATCAGACAGCCATAATGTTCAATAGTACTCATTCTTTAGACATTTTGAAATTATGTTCGGCGGTATGAAAGGGAATATTCGCTTCCTGATGTATTTTTCCTTGACGAATGAGCATTGTCAGGCCAGTAATGTAAATAACGTGAAACCATTTTGAAGGTAGGCCTCAATCTTCGTGTAACACGTGCTAATCAGATGCTAGAGATAGAAAGTGGATGTAGATGAAGCTTTTTATTTTATAAATGTCTTCAATGAGAGATAAGAAAGTTGGTAAAGATATGCGAATCATGATAAACAACACATTTTATTGTTTGTTATGCAAAATAATTTTGTATCATGAACCGCCATTATTTTCGTTACACACTGTAACTCACGAAAATTCTTAGATTCTTAAACGAAAAGAATTTAAATGATTTGCTCATTTTAGAAATAACTTAAAAACAATTCTACACAGAAGGTTCAAATAATGTTTAAGGAATACATTTAGTTAGAGCAAATTAGGAGTTGTATATAGGAGATCAGAGAACTAGATAATTGAACTTTTAACATATTATTAATAACGTTGTAATTTTCTTAATTTCATGTAGCATCGTATAATCATCATCATCATATTATTAATTAACAATTATTTAATAAATAACAACTGTCCTTGTCCTTGTTGTTGGCTTCGAATTTTATATTTTCGTAATGATAATAAATCTATCTATCTCTAACAAATGAATTCATACTAATTTCATGCATAATAAACTTTCTCTTATTTTATATTTGTCTCCATTTATTATTATTATTTTTTATTTCTTTTCTTTTCTTTTAGTGAGGTAATATTTAATAAATTTTATTTAGTGAAGTTTGGGAAATGTACCTACTTGACTTGAGTAGGGAGTTGTTTGGCCATAATATTTTTATTGAATTACATGTGTGGTGTACCCATGAATGTAACTTAGGTAATGGTTTTTAATATCAATTGTTCACAATAAAATCAACATCAATTCCACTTGATTGTTCATCTAAAACTCATCTATTTCTGAAGAGTCCTCATCACTTAAGTTGTTATTATTATTAGGGGTGTGAGCCAGATAAGATGATAAAAAATTTTTTCTCTTAACATTCATGGAATTTTAGTGCAGAACTCAGTGGCATAGATACTTAATTGAGATGAGTTCAAAAAAATATTTGTAGCATGGTAAAAAATAAAGCAATATCAACAGAGTTTTTATTCGTAATACCAATTCTTATTCGAATTATTCGCTTTCAGCTATTCGAATGTTTTATTCGTTTTATTTAAATAAACTTTCAATGTACTGTAAATAATTCGAATAACCTTATTCGAATAGAAAACCTAGTAATAGTGAACCATTAAATAGCAATAATAACGATAGTAGTGATAGTAATAATACTGGCAAGCTTAGTACCATCTGAGAAGTTTTTTCATCAATTGGAATTTATTTGCATAGAAAAGAAATAGACTTGGTAAAGATAATAAAACAATTGATCTTTAACGAATTCATAAAAAGTATTAGTATGTTATTTGTCTAGTAAATTATTTGATAAAAATTTATCCAGGTTCTTAGCCAGCTTACATCACTAATTATTATCACTTTTAATATGATTTTGAATAAGCTTGTCCTAATTCAAATCCTTTATTCCGATATATGCATATCAATTGCATTAAATAATAAAAAAATTTAAGAATTCAACCAACAAAAACATTATTACATCGCCTAAAAAAATATTATTTAACTTGCAAAATTTTTCGCATAAACATTACCGCGTAATTTATTTATGAAATGGCAAAAAATAGATCCAAAGTGTTTCCAATGTTCATGGAAATCAACATAATCAAGTTATGTTCAAGCAAGTTTTGAAATTATAAAATATTTCTATAATTCTCAAGCAAAAATCAGCTTTTAATCCTACCATTACTCCAACTAATATTCCATCAATAATGATGCTATTACTCCTCTAGCTATTAATACTATTACTCCATCAACTAATATTATTATTCCAACTAATGGTGCAATTACTCCTTTGTCAACAAATGATGTTATTATTTCATCAACTAATAATACTATTACTCCGAACGAGCTGAGATTATACTTAGCTCGAGCTTTAATTGGCTTGAATACTCGATTTCGGGTCAGTTCGAACATAAAAAAGCACTGGCTTAAACCCGGTTCGAGCTCGAAATCTCGAAATTCAATTATAAAATCATGATTTTGCAGACCATTGAAAATAATTGAATAATTATAAAAGTAAAAAAACAATAATAAACTATAATAAATTATGACAGACTAAAAATTTCAAATGAGAACAATTCAAGATTCCATAGTTTAACATAAAGCCAAACCTTGTTTCGACGAATCCATGGAACAAGAAAATTGCATTTAAACTTCGTTATACAGAAATTACTAATTACGTTTTAACGAATTTTATATGTTTTTTAAAATTCTCTGTAACGCGAATTTAAGTTGAAACAATAGTATAGAATTTCACAGATATTTGTGGAAAATTAGACGAATGCAAACACTTAAAAAAAATCGAATTCATATTCGCAATACAAATTCTTATTCGAATCAATTAATTCGTGCACCATTGATGAAAGAAAGGATCTACATAGTAATAGTAAAATTTCGGCTTGTTGCAGATTCCCCACCATGTATTGCTATAAACATAATGTCAGGACGTCTCCCACTTTTTCTCCTTCGATATTTACTGGACATATTCTGACGCTCCATCATTCATTACATAAAGTATACGAATTAAGCACAAATAATTAAAAGTAAATACTATTGTGCTTGTTTATATCAAAAATAAAATTCATATTCCTTTCTTTTTTGAGGAACTTGTAAACGATTTTATGATACTTGTTTGTATCTGTCGCAACTTTATCAACTCAATCATCTAAAATTCACATTTTTCTCGTATGTAGATTTTGGAAAATTTTCTTTTAGGTGATTCCAACACGACTGTATACCTTTTTCCTGATACACGGATTTTTTTGGATTACTACTATATAATCAAATATGATATTAATAAGTCGTATTCTTGTTTAGCCTCTTCGATTCAATCATTGTCAGCTTGATCAAATCACATTATAGATGAACGTCTAAATTGTTTTTGGGTTGTCTAAAGTCAAAATAGTATGACAAAAATGTCTAAATGTCTAAATTAGTATAAATAGTAATGATTTGTTTTAAATACAACTAAAAGTCATGTGTATACACAAAATCCACAAAGTTCAGTAAATTATCCAATAAAAAATTCAACATTTTAGACAATTGAGACCATGATTGTCTAAATGTCTAAATTAATTTATATTTTAGACATTGTCTAAATAATTTAGTTTAGACACACATCTATAAATCACATCTATTGCATATTGTTCATAAAAAACTCGAGTTTAATATTCTCAATTCTTAAATATTTACCCGATTTGAAATTCACGTGCGTGAAATTCACATTAGCCAATCATAATTTTGTATCCAAATACTACGTCAAATTGACGTCACAAACGGCGTTCGAAATTGACTGTGCCTTAACATAAAGCTAGTCTCATTTTAGAAATTATTCGTAATTGATTTCTAGATTTGGTTATCACGTGCCAATTCCGCCAATTGAATTTTCACAAACAATGTTTATGCGTATATATAAATGTATATTGAAAATTTTTTCCCATGCTAAATACATTCACTCATCTTCCTTCGCTCAAACTCTCAAAAAACATAAATATTAAAATTACTCTTATAACGGAAATGGACGCTCCCAGCCGTTGGTCATTTGAAATTATTATCACTATTTGGGCATTTGTAACGCCAATAGTAGGTATAATAAAGGTGGTTCACCACTACATAACCAAGTATTGTTTTTATGATACTGCCACCACGACTACGTATATTGGTGAAACGGGTGGGATTGGAATACATAGTGAGAATGGAACTGGAATAGTTACTTTACGTACAAATGACTGCAGCATTTACTTCCCTTGTCACGTGTTAAATATAATAAATGCTAGCATGTCAGAGTGGGATGATGCTGTCCTTTCCGTTGCAATAATAGATTGTAGTTTTTTTTCTGAAACTATAAATCGCGAGGAATTAGATAGTACGGATAATATCTTAGATACATTCAAGGTATTGTTCCAAGTGAGTAAAAGATATGACAAAATTATTACCTTGGTTCGAATAATAAAAGGTGTTATTGGGCGTTTGGCTATTCCTATACTGATCAGAAGTTTTAAGGAAGGTCTTGATGATGATGCAGTAATGACAAGAACCCTTACCTTTGGTGCACCAATACTTCAAGAGTTTGGCATCAATTTCTTGACATTACTTTTATACGGAGTTATGATTCTGATGCTCTCTTTTCAAATATCTCGGACAATTGCAAAGTACACATATAAACTCATTTTAATGTTTTATCTTTTTTGGGGTTTGGGTATAGCTTGCTTGTGCTATATTTATATAAGCAAGTTGGAAGACAAAATAGAAATAGTTTTCTTAATAGCAATAATTACAATTCGAACTTTTGGCCCAGTAAGATTAAATTGTGGCGGTTTAGACATAGGTTCTGCATTTTGTTCTGGAATTAACCTATGGTTTGCGGTACAGAGTATGATTTGGGCAGTAAAAGGAGTAAATATCTTGGAATATGGGGTTCCATTTTGGAAACCATTTTGATTATAGAAGTTTTTTATCCTTTTTATTATCATTATAGACATCATAATAAATATTTTTTTGATTAATCTTTGTTGTAGAGCTTTACAATTTTGAATTCCTAAACTCTCCATTATATCAGTTTTACTTGACTAGTTGAAGCTAAAACAATAATAGGAATGTTTTTATAATTTTTTTTCAAGTCACATAACTCCTTATAAGCTGGTCTAAAATCATTGACTAATGCAACAACATATCTTGCTAGCTTACAACTTACTTATTGCTGGCGTGACTTTTAAGTAAAATATCTTGCAACTTGGTGTAGTAGGTCCATTAAGTTTAGTGAAAACTTCCTTTTTTAATTAGCTTCTTGTCCATATATAAACATAACACGCCTATAATACTATAATAAGCAATAGCAATGGAGAAATTATAATTGTTATTCCCTTTTGTTTTTCCAGTTCCTACCCCACCATTACAGGCAACTGGTAAACAAATAATTAAATGATTTTAATATTTATGAAAATTAATTTTCTCTTCCAACAATACTTACATGATGGAATTTGTCAATTGGCTTGTTTGCCTTTTCTTTTTCTTACATCATTTTGACCTTTTTGAAATAAAGATAAAATAAAGGCGTTAATAAAAAAATAATATTATTATTTTTTCTTTTTGTACCACGTTTTTTTATTTTGGACAATAACCAAATGTTTATATTTTTGTATTTGATGCCTCTTTTTTTTTTTTACAAAATAGCCTAAATACTTTGTATAGATGCAGAGTAAAATTTATTGTCATGTCGTCTACATTATATAATAATAGATAATTATACAAGATTTATTTATCATGATGGTAACAAACAAGTGTTTTATATGTTTGCTTTTCGTAATTGTTAATAATGTTAATAATAATTATAAGAAATGTCAGAGATGAGAAAGGCAACACAACTATTGAAAATATCTCTCTTTTGGAAATTTGCACATTCTTGGACAATTTAGAAACAGTAGGGAACTTGATATGCAACGTTTGATTATTGGATGGAAACTTGTAGATGCTGAAGTGTATTACTTGGGGCTCAAATATTGTAATCGTTCTCTTATTCCTCGCGTACATAAGGCCAAACTGACTTGTTCCCGATGATATGATGACACAATTAAATTTCAGAGGAGGGTAGTGTGGCTCTGAGGTTGCATGAAGTTGTATTATTTTTGGGATTTTGGAAGTAATTTTAAAGGAACTTTGCATACAATCGAGAAGCACAATACACACATACACACATACAGCAAACAACATGTACAGAATACACAGCACACATTACATGTCCACACATGCACAAAAAAAGGGAGCCAAATAGAGACTTGGCTATTAAGAATCCTTCCACTACCATTGTTCTACATGCACGGCTCATGTTTTTGGTGGCCAGTATGCAGTCCTGACTTTGTATATTTTTTCTTTTCTCAAGCGTCAAGTACAGCAAATACGACCAATACCAATGCATAATGCTTCTTTCCGTTCTGGAAACATCAAAGCTTCCAGATCAGGAGTGACATTGTTCGATTCTACAAAAACAGCAATCAGTCTCATGGAAAGCTTTTGAAGATGATGTTTGTTATTTGATACAGACAGATACATTTATACTAAATATATATATAGAATAAATAAAATCAATTATATATACCTTTACTATTATACCTTATTTACATATATTAATATTTTATCTCATAAAAATAAATAAAATAAGCGGAATTTTATATTTTTAAATATACAGTAGCCCAAAGATCATACAACAAAATTATTGAATGTGCATATTTGACATACAATTTTCCAAATAAAAATAAAATTCCAAAGATGTGATAAATGTGAGAAGTTGTTACCTTTATATAATATCATTAATAATTAATTATCTATAATTTCATTTCTCAAGATAAAATAAAACAATAAAAGACAAGATTTAACTTATTCAGGTAATTCATCTGGTATGGTTAATTCAATTTGTGTAGAATCTATAAAAACCATAAGTGTGGATTTTAATAAATATAAATTTTAAAATTAATAAAAATGAAAATAATCAATGATTGAATGTTAATAATTACCATTATTGTTA